GCCGGTGCTGTGCCGGTGCTGTGCCGGTTCTGTGCCGGTGCTGTCCCGGTTCTGTGCCGGTTCTGTGCCGGTGCTGTGCCGGTGCTGTGCCGGTTCTGCCGTGTTCTCCCGTGGAGTTTTCTGTCCTATCCCACAGGGAAAATCTGCCCAACCCCAGCCTCTTTGAGCCGCTCCAGGGCAGCTGTGGCAGAACCAGAATCCCAGCACGGTTTGGGTTGGAAGGGACCTTAAAGCTCACCCAGTTCCACCCCAGCGTGGCAGGGACACCTCCAAACCCCGTCCAGCCTGTCCCCGAGCCCCTTGCAGGGCACGCAGGCTGGCACGGGGGGTACAGCGTGCCCAGAGCTCCCGGGAGCTGCAGTCCCACAGCTCCCGGGCCCATCACCGAGCCAGGCTGAGCTCCCTGCCGGAGCTGTCCCCTCGGAGCTGTCCCTGTCCCCGCAGGTGCCATCCGAGCCGTGTGCCTGCCGCCGTCCCCGCAGGACCTGCTGCAGGGCACGCAGTGCTGGGTGTCGGGCTGGGGCTACACCACCCCTGGCCAAGGTGAGCTGCCCCCGAGCCTCCCCCTGCCCTGCCCGGGCTGTCCATTCCAAATGCTCACCCTGCCTTCATCCCAGCCCTGCTCCGGAGGGCCCGGATGCATCCCTTAAGGCAGTCACCTTCCCCCGCCGTCCCCTCCCGCTCCCTTCGCTGTCCCTGTCTCTGTCCCTGTCCCCAGCACAGGTGGCCGGGACGCTGAAGGAGGCTCTGGTGCCCCTGATCGGCACCCGGAGGTGCAACAGCTCCTGCGGGTACAGGGGTGAGCTGACGGCCAGGATGCTCTGTGCAGGACACCTGCAGGGCCGCGTGGACGCCTGCCAGGTAGGGCTGGGAGCAGGGGGGGACACCTGGGGGTGCCTGCAGCCACCCCGGGACACCCTGGGGGGACACGGGCTGCCCTGAGCTTCACACGCTCCCCGGAGAGCTCAAGGCCAGGTTGGACGGGGCTCGGGGGGTGGCACCGAGCAGGGGGTGGCACTGGAGGAGCCCAGGGAGCCGAAGCAGGCTGTGATTCCCGGATCTGCCCCGCAGGGGGACAGCGGGGGCCCGCTGGTGTGCTGGGATGGAGCCATGTGGCGCCTGGTGGGAATTGTCAGCTGGGGCCGGGGCTGCGCTGAGCCCAACCACCCCGGGGTCTACACCAACGTGGCTCAGCTGCTGCCCTGGATCCACCAGGTCACCCAGGTAAGCCCAGCTCTGTGCACAGACAAATCCCAGGATCCCTTTAGGACAACCTCTCTTCTGGTACTGATGGCTTTTTTCGTTTCCTTTTTTATTGATTTTATTAGATCCACTAGAAATGAGACAAGGACAGAATCCACACAGCAACATTGCCCTTCCCACAAGCGAAGAACAGCCCAGGACCGGCTTCTCCCGTCTCTCTGTAACCCAAACAGACTCCCAGATGTGCTCAGTATAAATAGTTTATTAAAGAAAATAGCAAATTACAATTCTGTGAACAATCAACAGGGGAGAAGTGTTTTTCGAAACAGATGTTTTTTGGATGACTGTGTTTAAGGGGTAGGGGATCCCATGAGATGTCAGTGTTCTGGGAACACTCAGAGGGGGAAAAACAAAAACAGAGGGGTTCTGCAAGGACTGCAGTGACATGAAATCCTCAGCCCCTGCAGAAATGCCTGGAAATGGGAACAGGAGTGGGACAAAAGTGCCAATGACAAGGAGACAACAGAATAAAACATTAAACTCTGTGACTGAAACTCTTCTAAGCACTACAGGGTAGGAAGGACTTTGCTCCATGTGTGCAGCACCTTGGTCTCTGGGCTAAGTTCAGTGGGTGCTCTGAGTTTTTTAATTAAAATAAATGTACAATAACCCAAGTGTCAAACATAGCCTTTTGTGACTTAATGCTGTGAGTGCACCTTTCATTCCCTTTTTATTTTGGTTTACATTTCTCTCAGCATTCCTGAAGGACAGAAAACAGAACAGCAGAAAGACACCACAGTTACACAGGTCACACCCAAGAGAAACCTAAAGGAAGGAGCTGAACTGGCTTCTACAGTTGGGAAAGTGACAATGGAAAGTTCTGAACCAGTTTGAAGATACTTTCTATGAAAAATAAGAGAATTTTCATACTTGTGAGAAATCCTGTGACCTGATCAATGGTTCATTCAGCACAGGATCTCCTTGCCCCACATCCCTCTCTAAAGTGTCTCTCCCTTGAGGTCTGCTCCTCAGGGGAAGCTGAGGTGGGAAAGTTTGGCACTTCTTGGACGGATATCAAAAGCTCTCCAAGTCTGTGGGCTCCACGTATGGTTTGAGGGACAGAAGAGGTCACAGAGGGGCTGCAGGTCCCCTGATGTAGAACTGCATAGAAGAGTCCCAGCTGAGCACTGCAAACGCCCAGCCTGAGATGAGGTTACACAAACACCGAGCCAGGAAATGCTCCTTCCCCCCAGCCAAGCTCCAGGAAGCACCTCCCCAGTCCCAAAGTTTTTCAGACCAGTACAAGAAAGGTGAAATAAAAAAAAAAGTTTGCAAGTGTCAGTTTGCTCTTGCTGTGCCACAAGAGGCAGGTGTAAACTGGAGTCACTTGATCTTGGCCAGGGCTGCTGCTCTCCTCTCTGTGTTCTGGAACAAGGCTCGGATCAGACTCTTCACCTCAGCTGCCGAAAACTCCTCTGCCAGAGGCCCCTTGCCATCTGCCCACCTGCATGGGAGACAGGGAGAGCTTTATGTCACCAAGCTGCCCAGAAATGGCACCCCAAACAAGCCTCCAAGGACCTGTGCCAGGAGCTGATCCTGACCCCTGTTAGCAGCTCCCGCCCTTCCTCTGAGCTCCAGCTCCCTGGCACAGGTCTGGAGAAGCAGCTGGAGAGGAGAACACCTACTGATCCACAATTTCTTGGAGGTTGGCCTGCAGGATGATCATCAGCTCCTTGAATGTCATCCACTTCTGCACATAGACTGGAACTTCCTCTTGATACTTCTTATTTTTGTCTTCTTCAAGCAGAGGGGTGAAAACTTGGGGTCCCTCCTCCACCATGATCCTGCAGAGTGAGTACAGCCTGTCTGCATCCTCTGCAGAGATATCCTGGAAGGGGGAAAACATCAACAGAGAGAAGTGAGGTTTATTTTCAGAGTGCATAGTCAAATGAAAAACTGAGTTTCTGGAGGTGACAAATGCTGTCCCCAGCACCCCCCACGGCTGTTACCTCCAGGGCAGCAATCCTGGTGACAATCTCTGCCAGGGCTGTGTTCAGTAAGGCCCCCATGGCCTTGCAGTACACGTTCACAGGGAGCACATCCTGCCACACCATGCCCAGCCTCCTCAGCTGGTGCAGCACCTGCAAGGCAACAGCTGAGTGTGACACCAGACAGAACCCTGGGAAAGGCACCAGGGGGTCAGGTGAGTACAAATGGGCAGAAACAATGGAGCAATCCTGCTAAAGACACAGCCCAGGACAAAAAACCCAAACCATCATGTCAGAAAATAGATGTTTTAGCAGTTCCACAGCTGTCAGGGCTGAGATGACACACTGCACCCTCCCCAGGATACCTGCAGGCACTGGGATGTTCTTTCTCTGCCTTCCTTACCTGCTTTATGGCTTTATTTGCTGCACAGTAATTCTCCTCATCATCCATGTTGGAAAAATTCCTGGCACTCGAGAGCCTCTCCAGGATTTCTCCCTTCTGCACTCGCATCTGGGCCAGAAAACACTCTATCCCTTTAGGAGCAAAACAAGCAGAGAAAAGCAATTAAGCAATTATGAAATCTGCTCTGCCTATTTATGACTGTAAGTGCTGAATAATGAACTTGCTACAATGTTTTATCTTTAATCAAGTTTCCAGTCTCCGTACAGTCTCCCAGAGCCAGTTTAACCAGTGAGCTCTTGTGCAGCTTGCGTTGCTACAACACTGCTCGGAAAAAAGCAGAGTAGGAGAATGAATTGTGGACGACTCCTGCTAGCTCACACAAACTTATCTCTGAATTTATTTCTGTAGAATAATTAATGAAAAAGACAGAGCAGCAGATCCCAAAACACAGTGCTACATCTTGTTGGATACTGAACTGCTCTTGGGACTAAGAAGACACAGGTTTCAAAGAGCCAGAACTTCCTAATTCAGAAAATGTTTTTGCCACTTGTCCAAAAAATACCAATCCACTGCTGGCACTGAGTGAGCAGCCAAACCTCCACAAAACCAGCAGCAACTGCCAGGGTGAATTCCCACATGATCCACAAACACATTTCAAGAGGGGAAGGTGGGAAGTTACCCAGCCTCCTTATGCCAGGCACCAGGTCCACGAAGGTGGCAGCCCCGTTGCTGAGCACGCTGGTGCTGCGGAAGCGGAACTGGTGGCCCAGGGTGAGCAGGTGGTGGGCGATGTACATGCAGTTGTTGTGGTGGATGGCAGCCAGCTGGGGCAGCTTCTGCAGGTTCTCCCTGGCCCAGTAAGAAGGGAAAAAGAAGAAATGGGTTTATTTAGAGCTGGTTCTGGTAAAAAAAGTGGTCTTGTCTATGCTAGAGAAACGCATGGTCTGTCAGCAGATGGTGCTGGCAAGGCCGGGCTGACATCAGAGTAAAAACATTTGACCTCTCACATCCTCACAGGAACTGGCAGGAAAAGAGTCTGAAATGCCATTTGAACCCTGTGTTATCCTGTTGCACTATATTAGGAACATGAAGCAGTAAAATACAGACTCTCTATCTGAGTGTCACAAGAGAAAGTTTTATTATTCCAGATCTTCTTTTATAGACAGTTCCGAGAAGGTCTGAGAGGTAAAACTCTCATTGGTCATTAAACCAACACATCACCACTACTGGACAATTAAAAACTACACCCCTTGACTATTTCTTGCAAGAAAACAACAGGGATCCAAACAGCACCTGCAAAGGTTGTCCTTCTCCAAGGACTGCTTGGATTCCTCCTTAAAATTCCTCAGGCCACACTTTCTCAGGCCGGTCTGAGAAAGTTATGTGACTTGGCTTCACACAGGCTCTGTGCTCCCTGCTTGCTTTCAGCATACATATTATCCCACACTGTTTCCAGCCATGGACTTTCAAACAGGAGTAAATTTATTAGAGCAAAGTCACAGTGAGGAAAAGGGAGAGAAGTTCTCTGTCAGGCTTGTGAACTTTCCATCTTCATTGCTGTTCTTTTTTTTCACAGGAAAAACATCATGAAAAACCTGTGCATCAGATCTGAGGTCAAAGCTACATGGCTGGAAACAAACACAGCTGTGTGAGAACTTCACCCAGACCCTTGATGAGAAGACTGACAACACAGAAACTCTCAAGCACCTGTTTTGCACAGGTATGGTTTAATAAGAGACTGAACAGTTGATTTTTGCTGCTGGAGCCCCTGGCTGCAGTGGACAGCTGGGACTGTTGCAACAGGAGTATTGCCCCTCAGAACAGCCAGTATGGACACACTCACCTGTGGTACGTGGGCACCACCTCGTAGAAGAGCTGGAAGATGTTCCTGACACAGTCAAAGAGCTGCACACAGCTACAAGGGAAGGAGGGCTCATGTCAGCCTGGCATTAATGTCCTGGTCACAGCTGACCCTCAACCTGCCCCACAAGGTTTTATGAGCAGAAGCACTGGCACAAAGAGGGGATTGTCAGGATCAGTGACAGCACTGTCAACACTCTGGAAAACTCTCAAAGGCTGTGGTGACCTTGAGGTTCGGTGTGGAAGGGAGACACGTGAAAACCCAGAACAAAGGGGACACTGTCCCTGCCCCTCCAGGTGTGCAGGAACACTCGGCCCTCTCTCTGCCCCTTGAGGGCAGCTGTTACCTGGGCAACTCTCCTGCTTCAGGGCTGTGGTCTGTGCTTGTTGAAGTTAAATTTGTGTGGATTCTGTTTGTTTTTCCCCAAGAGCCCTGCCAACTGCAGGGCTGGAGCTCTCAGCTTTCACTGGCACAAAGTCAGCAAGAACTCTGCTCACAGTGAGGCCAGCACTTGGTTTTGGGAAAAGGAGATGGCTTTGATTTTTCTAAACAACTGACTTTTCTAAAAACCTGAACTCCAAGGGCTGCTGAACCTGAAGGACCAGCCTGCAGCAGTGTCAGTCTCCTGCCCAAACCCAGGGATACATCCTCCAGCCAAAACAAGACTAACAACTGAGTCTAATTTTTTGGCCTTTTCTATCCTTTAAAGTTCTTTAAACCTATTACCAGATGTTTGGTGCTGCTAGAGGCTGACACACAAGTTATAATCAATATTGATTTGACAAATAATGATAACCAATGATAATGCCAAATAATTCCTACCAGAGATCTGTGCTGGCTGTGGCCTCCAGCAGGGTGTGATAGGCCAGCTCCACGAGCTGCTGCACCGAGGAGCTGATGCGGCAGGTGGGCAGGCACAGGGTGAACGGGCTCAGCCTGCTCTCACTCCCCAAATTCACTGTCCCACTCTGCAGGAGGCTGGAGGGTCTCTGCATTTTTAGGTGGTCTCCTGACCCAGGATCAGGGAGCTCTGGGAGGGCTAGGCTGGAATCAGGTGTGATCTAAGGGAAAACAAGAGGGGGGGTAAAAAAATTTACAGCTCAGAAAGGAGAATCTGCCAAGATTAAAAAGCAATGAATGGCAGAGATTGAAGACTCAAGTTAAACACAATACCGCAGCACTATTAAAAAATATTTAGAGACTGTTTTCCAGATGGAAAAACTGCGTGAGACATCCCCAGTCACCTTCACAGTGTTGTGTATTTCTGAGGTCATCAGGTTCCTGGCTGCCATGATCACATCCTGGCACTTCTTGTTGGCAAAGTGGGAATCGACATTGCAGGCGTATTTCAGCAAGGCAGTCGTGTCTTCCTTCAAAAACTGCATCTTCTTCAGGGCTTTCTCAAATTCCTCTGTGGATTCGATCACCTGAGGAGAGCAGATGTTTGTTAGCACAGTCCCCTAAAGTCAGGGAACAAAGTAAAATTGGGTAGAAAAGCCAAAAGCAAAGGATGAACGAGGTTTTGGAGGGCATTAACCACTGGAGTGCCATCCCACTGGGCTCTGTGCTCAAACCTGAGGAGGTTTTTGGGACCCACCTCTTTGTACTGCTCCAGTTTGCTGCTGTTGGTTGGGATGGAGTCCACCAGGCAGTTGTGGATGAGGCAGTCTGAGAGCTCCTCCCAGATGAGCTCCCCCAGCAGCTCTGCCAGGGTGACTCTGCCTTCCTTTCTGCCTTCCCCAGGCTGCTCCAGAGGCACATCTGCATCCCAGAGAAGAAAAATGGATTTTAATACAGCTGCTTCCTGGGCCAGAGCCTGCATCGGTTCAAAAGCCTTCCCTCCATTTTCCTTGCACATAATGCTGATTAACAATCAAAATTCCAGAGAACACTCATTAAATGAACAATGTACTGCTCACAACTAATTCCCAAAGAGAGGAACTACCTACTTAGCAGGTGTTTGTGCAGAACTTCAAAAACCAGCTTGATCTTGTCAAACACCTCCACAGGAGAGGACTCGTTCAAGACAAGCTCCTGGGACCTGAACCTCAGGATGAACACATCTGGCTGCTCCTCTGGGACTGGCTCCAGAGATGGGTGTGAGATCAGTGGCTTCAGGATGTACTGCAGCAACAACTGGCCTGAGGAAAGGGAAAAACAGAGGTTTTCCAATAGCAGATTGCTCCAGGGAGGTCCAGCCCTGACTATTCTGGATTTGGAGACTGCAAGAAGTGTAAGGAATAATCCCTTCATCAGTTCTACCAGGGAATTACTGATGAGGTAAAACTCTTCAAGCATCAGGCTATGAAACCACACAGTCATAGATCAAAATGAACCCTGAATTGTCAGGAAAGGAGAAATAATTCCAGGTAGATAATGGGATAAATATTTTCCTATTAATAAGAGCTACAGCATTCATTTCACTCACTGTGAAACACCAGCCAGGAGAGGAAGAAGTCTTCCATTGTCCTGCTGGAGTGAAGTGGATCTCACTATCCATGTTAAAAAAGCCTGAACTATCCCCCTGAGCTACTGGGGCTGTTTCTGAGGTCTGTCTTACCAAAATCTTTGAGCCTGGAGTGCAGCTCTCCCAGGACAGCCAAGGCCTGCAGCACGGCAGCCACGGGTGGGACAGCAGTGTCCTCGTCCTGAGGCAGCACCGTGTGCAAGTGCAGCTCCGACAGCACCACGGCCTCCAGGCTGCTGCTTCCTGCACACAAACCACACCCAGGGCTGTCACAGGGTCACAGAGAGGCAAAGATCTACCCCTCCCCAGAGCAGGAGCTCGCTCAACCCCCTCAGCCCAAGTGTTTTACTGCACGTCCCACCTTGCAGGTGAAAACAGGCACTTCAGTAGGGCAGAAAGGGTGAAAAAAACCCCTGTGAGCACCTTTGGAAGGGGGAAGCTTCCACACAATGAGCTTCTGCCACTCCTGCCTGAGATGGTAGATCAAGTTCTGTGTCTGCACCGTGAGCTCCGTGCCCAGGGCCTTCAGGATCTTCAGCTCAAAGCCCCTGCGGGACTCCAGGCTCCTGAGGCTGCTCCGTGCCTGGTGGGGGAGAGCAAACACAGCTCGGGTAAGCTCTGAGCCAAAGCATCCTCTGGAACTCAGTGCATCCACCACCACTGCCAAGGGCTCACTGGTACCTTCTCCAGCTGCTGAGCTGCTGCCACGTACTGCTCCTCCAGCAGGGCAGAGCTGCACTCCTTGATAGAGGAATCAATCTGCAAAGGCCAAGCACACACAGGGGTCACTGCAGCTCTGCCCTCATCCAAACCTGTCAGCCACAGGCACTCATCCAAAACAGAATAATGTCTCACACTGAGGAGCAGGATGCTTTTGCTCCCCCTCCTCACCTCCTGCAGCTTTTTCAGGATGCTCAGGACCAGCGTGTCCCTCTCCAGCTGCTGCTTCAGCTCTGTGAACTCAGCAACAGCAACGTTTAGATCTCGCTGAACCTAAAATAACAACATTTTTCAGTTCATTGACAGCATTTCTTAACTCTTCTTAAATTTATCATTTATTTCTGTTCATAGAACAATTTGGTGAAGAATAAAAAAACTCCATCCTTTTTATTCCTGTGTTCCACCCCCTGCCACAGCCAAGGCTGGTCCCTCTCTCTGAAGGACAGTGTGACACACTTTTCAACCCACATGAGTGACAATCCCTTAATGGCAGCTCCTAATGTACACCCTGGTGCCACCACAAGGCATTCTTTAGGGCTGATAGCACCCAGGGATCTTAATCACAGAATCACTCCGGATTTGGGATGAAATGGAGCGGAATGTCCCCTGGGAGTCACCTCGTTCTCGATGCCCGCCTTGAGCATGTCGATGTTGTTGGCCAGCCCCTCCACCTGTGCCACCAGGTCCTCTGCGCTCTGCATGCTGGGCAGGAACTCGCTGTACTTCTTGTTGATCATGGTGCACACCTCTCCCTGAGGACAGCGAGCAGCAGGACAGCGTCACCCCGGGGGCAGAGGGACAGGGCCGGGGCAGCCGGGATGGAGCAGGGCTGGGCTCCTGGGGCAGAACCAGGGCTGGGCATCCTGATCCAGCTGACCTGGGCTGGATTCCTGGGGCTGAACCAGGGCTGGACACCCTGATCCAGCTGATCTGGGCTGCACACCCGGTCCAAAGCAGGGCTGGACACTCGAGCTGACCCAGGGCTGGGCACCCAGTCCTGACCGGCTCAGCCGCAGCGCCGGCCCCGCGTCTCTCCCCGCGCCCCCTCCGTTCCCCGTCCCTCCGCCGCTGCCGTCCCTTGCCTTGAGCTCCTCGACGCGGCGGGAGAGGCGCCCCACGCGGGCTCCCAGATGTTCCTTGTCGAGCCGGCCCGAGCGCGCCAGCACGGCCGCCACCAGCGAACCCTCCCGCGCCGCCATCGCTGCGCGCCCTACGGCGGCCGCGAGGGACACGGGACCGCGGCGCGGAGCAAGAGCGGGGGACCCGGGTTCGAGGCTGCGGGGGGACAGCCGGAACCGGGGGCGATCGGGGACCGCGGGTTTGGGGACACGGGAATGCCGGGGGGGATCGGGGACCGCGGGTTTGGGGACACGGGAATGCCGGGGGAGATCGGGGACCGCGGGTTTGGGGACACGGGAATGCCGGGGGAGATCGGGGACCGCGGGTTTGGGGACACGGAAATGCCGGGGGGGATCGGGGACCGCGGGTTTGGGGACACGGGGACCCAGCACCAGTGGGTGCTGAAGGTTTATGGCTTGCAGAGGACACCAGTGGGTGCCGGGGCCGTGGCTATGGGGGACCAGTGACTGCAGGGGGACATAGAAATTCTGGGGGTTCCCTAGCTGCTGCAGGGGTCTCTGGATGCCTGGGGGGACTCCATGGGTGCTGGGGGGCTCCATGGGTGCCGGGGGGGCTCCATGAGTGCCGGGACACCTGCGGATGCTGCTGGGTTCTGTGGCTGTGCAGGGACCTGGCGGTCCTTGTCGCTTGCGGGTCCGTGGCTGCTGGAAGCCCCTGGCTGCAGAGGGTCCCTGGCTGCCGGAGGACCCGAACCACAGCCCGCCACGTCCTCCCTGTCCTCCCACGGCTGTCGGGCTGTGCTGGGGTGAGCAGGCAGGCGCACAGCCCCCCATCCATCCCCGGCTGCCGGGGAGGGAGGATCAGCCCCCGGCATCCGGTACCTGCCGCAGCCCCGGGCGGGCGGTGCCGCGTGGTGAGCAGCTCTCCCCACGTCCTGCGAGCGGGGACAGAGCCAGCACCGCCGGGCCATGACGAGGGGAAAGGTCCTGAGTGCCTGGGCACTGCTGGCCGGGCTGGCCCTGGCCAGCTGGGGGGTCCGAGGTGAGTCCGCAGGTGTGGGGTCAGCGGCCGGACGCTCGCCGTGGTCCCTGGATGTGCTGGGAGGGTGCTGGGATGGAGCCCCAAGGCTGGGTGAGGTTTTCCAGCAGGGAAGGTTTGGGATGTCGATGGGGAAAAAGGAACCAGTGCAACAAAGGATGGGGGAGCCTGCTTTGCCCAGAGTTTTTTTGGGACAGCCTGATGTGATGCTTCATCCCCGTGAAGGAGCTCTGAGCTCTGCTCTGCTGTCAGTAACTCAGGGGTGAAGCTGTCTGCTCTCTTCTCCTTCCACAGGGCAGATATACGTGAAGGAATTCAGCGGGAAGGTGTTCCTGGAATGTGTGCGAGGCCAAGGCAACAAAAACATCACCTGGTGGAAAGATGGGAGCACTGTTGGGCACGAAGCACAGCTGGACCTGAGCGCGGTTTATGATGACCCCAGAGGCCTCTACGTGTGTGAAACAGGGGGCCAAAGGAAAAGCCTCCAGGTGCACTATCGCAGTAAGTGTTGCACATCTGCTTTTCCAGAGCCAGAACTGCTCGAGGTTTTCACCCAAGCTGAGTCTTGAGGGCATTTCCCCTCATCTGGGAGTGTCTCCACCGGTTTGCTGCAGGTTCTTCTGCGTGTGGTGTCACCATGACAGCTCTGCAGCCTTATTTAGTGCCCTGACCTGCTTCTGTGGCCCTGCACTGGGCGTGGGGGCACGTGGCAGCTTGTGCCACTGCCCTGGGTCACACAGCAAAGCCAGCTGCTCTCTGTTGGACTGGCAGAGCTGGCTGAGCACTCTGGGTGTGCCCCTGCCCTCAATGTCCACGTCCTTTTGGGCTTCCAGTGTGCCAGAACTGCATCGAGGTGGACGCTCCCACCATCTCAGGCATCGTCATCGCGGACGTCGTGGCCACGTTGTTCCTGGCAGTGGCCGTGTACTGCATCACTGGCCACGACAGGGGACACACGTCACGAGGTGAGGGGTGGGAGAGACCTGAGTGCTGGGCCTGACACCTCTGGGAGTTGTGTGTGGCACCCAGGGGCTGCAGCCAGCTCTTGGGTTTGTGTGTAAATGTTCCCCACACTGCCCATGGCTCCCCTGATCCCTGACCTTGGCCTTCTTTCTTCCTTCAGCTTCTGATAGGCAGAACCTGATCGCCAACGAGCTCTACCAGGTGAGTGTGGGGACACCCCTGTGTGTGTGGGGACACCTTCAGCACCCCTGTGTGTATGGGGACACCTTCAGCACCCCTGTGTGTATGGGGACACCTTCAGCACCCCTGTGTGTGTGTGGGGACACCTTCAGCACCCCTGTGTGTATGGGGACACCTTCAGCACCCCTGTGTGTGTGGGGACACCTTTTCCCCCCCTCAGTGTGTGTAGAGCCACCTTCAGCACCCCTGCG